TTGGGGCTGATTATGTGCACTGGGGCCATCGTTGCCGCCTTCCAAAGGGTTACCTCTGGGGAAAGTCCTTTGTTTCCTTCGAAATGCATGCAATTTTTTCTGTGACCTTGATTACTGAACTAAAATGGCCATTATATTTCAACCGTAACAAGTTCATCGTATTTCTGTGATCCCGACGAAACGAGCAAGGTTTCTCTTCAGATTATCGCGTACATATCATATGTCTCCCAGCAAGTTTGCTTGTTCAAAATTATTGTTGTAAAGAATATCTGGTGCTCGAACTAGTTGCCATACGGTCGATATGAACAGATGATTCACTGATTAAATGGAGGACTATTTGTATGTTTATGTGTTTAGTTGATTTAGATTGTCCATGCAAGATTAACGATAACAAGTTATTATGCTACTTCTTTTAATACGAACTTCTACTTACATCAGAACAAAAGTTACTATTGCATGTACTGTTCAAGTGACTTAACTTTTCAGATGTCAAACGGAATGACGACATCCCGGCATTTATTGACAGGACCTGTCGTCGTATTTTATCCTGTGTAATATCCGATATGATTACAACTCAAGCTCTGTGCGAAGCTTGACTTGCGATTTCTCGATCAGCGGGGCTCAGCTCCTATCGCGTCTGACATCATCCAACCACGAAGTTATTGATCTGTCTCAAAGCATCATTTTTTTGCCACAAATCTATTTACAACGGGTTAGTTTATTAATATGATATATCGGAGATCGGAGTGCAAATTCGTTATGTAGGACTTTGCTTTGACCTTGGCCCTGTCTTTGCACCACCGGGCAGGTAATTACCGCAGTCAAACGAGATCTCGCTCTTAATTTGTTGCTTCGTTATTAACAACGACCCGCGGTTTTGCCCAATAATCTCATAATTATGCGACGCAATGGCGCGATTCACCAGTATGTGTCCGTCAAGTAAAGGTTCGCGAAAGTTAAGATATTTATTAAATACAGGCAAAACCGGCATTCATTGGGTTAATATTGGCTGATTGGCCGATCGCCTTCAAATCAGTGATACCACGACGTTTGACATGACCAACAAATTTCCCGTCAAATGTTGATTGAGTCGAATATATGAGCTGATGATGTAAACAGTAACGATATACATCAGTGCACTGTTACTAATGAAGTGTCACGGCTGTATGACGACGTCACCGACATCGTTGTCATCGTCCTGAAATACCATTTGTTCGGTAGCAACAGAAAGGCTGAACATATCGAGTAAGTAGAATGGTGAGTTGGATCTACGGTGACAAGTGCTGCTATTTTTCAATTCTTCTGAAGTACTCTTACTCTTCCAAAGATGTTCCGTACCAGAATATTATGCAACGCAGATTATGTTGAAAGCAAAAAATCTAAGAATTGGACTGAAGATGATCCTGAAGAAGACTCACGTCAGGTGAAACAAATGCGTACATAGAGGCCCATTGAAGTCTGTGAATTCAGTCTTAGAACGGTTCAAAACTACGTCTCTCTTCGACAGTTGATCCCGCAACGAAAAGTGAACTCTGCTACTCCAACAGAAAAGCCAAATCAACCTTAAAACAGGAACATTTTTAGAATAATGAAAATGTTCTCATCCGGGAAACCATAATTGCAGGTGAAACGGGAAATTTTCGGATAAACGACTGATCCCGATGGTGACGCATGGTTCAGAATCGTACATCCTAAACTTGAAAGCGATTCACAAGCTGCGGACTACACCGCAGGATAAAAAGGCATATAGTTGAAATAACAGGATGAAAATGGGAGGACACATGAATGATTGGGAATACACACAGGCGACTGAAATGCAATTGAAAGAGCGAAGAAGATGAAATAGCAATTGGGAAGGCATGTTGTTGGAAGAGATGACGATCAGTGGGCAACGATGACATTCGATTGGATTGCAAGAGATAGTAAACGCCTTCAAGATTTATAGCTAGATGATGGTGAGCAGAAGTTCGTTAATGGATAAAGCGGATGAGAATCACAAAAAACAAAAGTATATGGTAAAGCCTGAGTCCTGACATCGCAGAGTCGTCGATGGTGTTATACTGTAATGGAACTGTACTGAGAAGTTCTAGAAACCAGTTTGATAATGAGGACAACTTATTTGACTCACTGAGAGCTGCCCAGTGATATATAACATGATGGGCTGAAGCACGCAGCTGATACAGCTAACCAGTGTCCAGTTATACAGATTCACTGCGTTGACCGCAGGACCGAGCCCTTACACCAGCACCCAGCGATCTTCACCAAAACTGATGCACCAGCTCCGTCCTGGGGAGACCTTGATTCAGCACTGAATCGAAAAACTTGGTTGATGATAGCGATTTTGTGTGAAAGATGAATTTAATATATTCCATATAACTGAACTTTCTGACGTTTACGCATTCATACAATTTTAAACCTTTCGCTTATTGCCCAATAACAGCGTATGCTCCATGGCGTAATGATAAAAACGAAATCTGCTGAAGTTAATCAATACTGAGGGACTGAATCGAATAAATTTTTTCTTCGTTCTTCATCCTTTGTCGCGTTGATCTAACTCATTCAAAATTTTACTTTCTTCGCCTTTCTTTCTTTCTGCTTTATCTTCCTCCTTTCATAATCCTCCATGACATCCAGCTAGCCTTGCTCACTTGACGAACTGTAGAATTTTCATTTTTCGCACTGAAAAGTACGCCAAGGTCATCAGCATATGTCACTCATTCATTGATATGGACATGACGAAATGCTCAACGTTCCTGTTCCACAATCATATACAGAGCGTTTGAGAAGAATCAGCTCTTGAAACATCGTTCGTGATTTTCGCGAGCTGGCTCTAGCGGACAAAACGGTGCGAGCTTGTTCTGACCCTGCAAGACAGTTGCCCGAATACTTTGGATCTGCGGCCTGTTTAATAGGCGATTAAGATCAAAGGGGGGCGTGAAATCTGGAATTGGGGGAGTGATTAGTCGCTTTTGGATCACAGTGAATCATCGCTGCTGCTGAACGATCGATATGTGCTTAGATCACTGTCAGCAACGGTTGGCGGTAACCGGTCGGTCCGGTGTTTGGTGATGCAGACGACGAGATCCGCCGTGTTTCGCGATGTCCATCCCGTCGTGTCGGTCGATGATGGTTGGCGCCTACTTCACCTGCTCGATCATTCGTCATCTTCAGACACATGATTACACGTGATCGCGATGGCGGTTGCTCAGACGACCCACGTACGACGCCAGATGGCGCTCAGCTCGCTCCGCTACATAAGAGTGCCGCCCGAGACCGGATCGAGCTGCCGCCGCGGAACGGAGGCTGTGCATTGAGGTGACGAGGCGAGCAACGCATTTGTTCGACTGTCCGGCCGATTATTTGACTGCCTGCGTTTCACGGTCTTCCTGTGAGTGTCGTACATCTTGTACATTGCGTCACTGTGTCATACGTTATGTCCTCTCGTGTATGTTGTAAATGTCGTGCTGTAAATTTGGTCGATATTCAACGAAGATTTGTCCATCGACCCTGTGTGGGTCAGGTAAAAAATTTCCACTGCGTTCACGTTCATAGATGTTTCAAAGGTCAATTTTCCTCAAATCCAGCTTTGGGGTTCAGTGCCCAGAACCTGAACAGTGGACAATGACTAGTGGATATTTGCTTGCTGGTGATACCAAGGTCGCGGGATATTTTCCTTACTTCCGAAGACCTGTAATTAACTGTGAAACTGTCACTTAGTCACTTAACAACTATGCACTAATTACCAAGCGGAAGACTTTATTTGGATATTAAAGCACATCTGTATAACAGACAGACATTCAGACTACAGATTCAGACGGTGATACAACTGATTTGTTCGTGCAATCTGTCTTTTTCTGTCAGAAAAACAGGAACATTCGTGTGATACATGGAGAGAAAATTTATAAAAGTTTGGAAGCACAGAGTAGAGAATATCGCTCACATCTTTTGCATGATCATGACCAAAGAAACGCGGTATCAGATGTTCCACAAATATTTCAATCATTTTCTCGTCCCCGTGTCATTCCCGAATTATAAATCCTTTGTCGTTATCGCGACAAAAAATCGAACGCTGATCCGCCGGCCGGCTCGTCGTCGAGTGTCGATTTTCATTCCTCTGTTTTTTCCTCACTACTCGCCTAGACTTTTTTATTTGTATTCATGAGCCTTGTTCAATTCGACGTTTTTCGATGAAGAAAAAAGAACGAAGGAAAGTTTGTAATCGTTGGAATATCGGCCTCTTTTAAGCTTTCACGATGGTGCAATTTTTGACACCCTTCCATTCATTAAGTTAACGGTGGCGTACTGATATCCATTTCCATGCCGTCCGCCATAAATACCGTATATTAAAAACAATGTCAACAGCAGCTGCACGACTAAGATAGTGTGTACTCTCCTGTTTCCTTCCACAGTCTGGTACTCATTTATCAGCCTGGGACGAAGGAAGGCAAATGCCTCCTGCCGAGGGTCCAACAAATGTCCTTCCAAGTCTTTTCAGTCGAGCCCTTTCACGGCTCATATTCCATGGACAAACATGTCTATCAATATCTTCATGCCCTCGCGTATGCGGTGTTCTTCTCGACCATTTCATGTTTCTTGTCATCAAGATCATCACCAGGGTCTTTTTCCATCCACTGCTGGACGACCGCGTACGTTAGGATTTGAATGCAAAACTCTACAATCCGCAACTCTTGTACATTCTACTGCAGTACTCGTGTTGAATCCATCTTGCCATCGATCTACAGGTTTTCTTACTTATCATATACAGTAGAGGCCCTATTTGCCGAATCTTCTGGGAAGCGTTCTTTCCTACGCTAGTTTTCGCTCCACGATCAAAAGTTATATCGGGATTTCACCATTTTATTATTATATATGTTATTCATGTTTGCGATTTGTCGTGTTTCTTCCTACAGCGTAAGAAAACCTCTCAAAACATGCCTCAGCATTGCAGACGACATTGATCCTGTTAATCAGTCTAAAGTTGTTGCTTTGACTGCACTAGTCAGATGGGTTGGACTTGACCTGGTCCTTGTTATGAACTGCACGGCGTATTAATTCCTTGGCGATGATACCGTGGTTTTATTTAGGAGGGAAGGATTCTTCGTGTGCAGCATAAGGGCTTGTTAAATACTGGAGAATTCGATATTCAGTTTCATCTCTCAAGGATGTTTAGGAAATCAACTTTTCTATACAGCTTAAATTTTGCTGCCGTTTTCTTTCACGTTTTTTTGCCTTCTTGGATGAAACTGAAGCCGCAGTTCGGTCTCCTTATTTAGTGGAGTTACCCTTCGTTTTTACCGTTTCATTGGTTCTGACTTAAGACTTGACAGTTGGGGAAGGGACTCTTAAATCTGTCTATTGTTATCTCTGTCTATCAGCACGTGATTTATTCAAATCTAATTTGACGGAGTTGTCGTTTCGCCTACTTCCTCCTGGATCTGCAGGTTGCGAGTCGTCCATTAATTCCATATTTATCCATGATTAATCAATTTTTAAAGAGTTTACAGTCGATAATTGATTTTAAAAGATAACCTTTATGTTCGTAAAGTGAAAAGTTTATTTCGATCATGTGTAACTCGCTGCACTGATTTGTTGATGTTTTTCTTACCGATGATTACTGATTTAGTAGCCAAAGTTTTGTATCGCATTTCAACACCACTTTGGAGTCTCTGCGCAAGAACATGGCCCGCAGAAAGGAAGTATCGACACGTTTGATCAAGCCGACCGATGATCGAGTGGACGTACCGCTGCTGATGCATTATCTTTATCACTGGGAGGCGAGGTTTGAAGAGGATGGCGTAGTAGCCGTCTACGACGAGGGACTTCCTCAGTACCTCCTCTGCGACAAACAATCGCATCACATCTTCTACGCCGCACTGGTAATGGCTAAGCCAAGTCTGCGATGCTCCCTGAGCCAAGAGGAACCTCCGAACGCGGACGTCAGCGCTCTGATTGTCGAAGGATTGTCTGGTGAGCCCGACGAGCTGGAGGCGCTCAAGAAACTGAGGGAAGTGATGACAAAACGAGGCTACAAATTTCCTCACTACTGAGGCGTTGGACTGCGGAAATGAATAAAAACACGGTGGTAGCCTCATGCAATCGGCGCAGCAGTCGTTGAATTCACACCCTCGCCAGTCACTCCCTCATAGCCGGACGTTTGCACGGTCACAGTATTACGTCAATGCCGTGCTGCTACTTTTGGACTGCTCTGGTCTCCGCAGGTCAGCTAAATCCCCGGTCCGAGAATCGCCGTCGTCCGCTCTGCGTGGCGACCTACTATTATTCGTGATGTAGTATAAGGTTCATGTCGGTTCGACAAACTGTGTCCCTGTGTACGTGTAGTTATGTGCTGACTGGCCTGTTTATAAATATGCATTGTTTGTACACTTGATGGTCGTAATGGTCTTGCCTCGATTTGTGTTCTTTTATTTGGCTCGCCGTCGAAGCTATGTAACAAACGTGTTCTTCACTTGTCCTCCAGACGACCAGCCTCATCGACAACAACTGACTACGTTTGGCAAGTTTTCTCCTGCCCCATTGAGTGTACAGTACAAATAGTTTTCACTGACAAGCTGTACAATGTTTGTTTGTGTCGTGTTTCAACTTTTGTAAACACCCGCTTATGATCTGCCCACGCCTGTACTGCGAAACAACGCACATCTGTTTTGTATGACTGCATACGTAGAAGTTTCTTAGGTACATATCGCAACATGTTCATTTGTTTGTGTCTAATTGGGGGGGTCATTTATAATAATTCCAACGCCTTCTCGACTAGGATACAGCCCTGAAACCCAAGGTTTAAAGGTCGTGGGATCAAACGTAAACAATGCAAATGTGTCCCGAAACAAAGGCGTGCACAATTTGAGTTGTGCAAATCTGGTATCTGCAACTGAAATGCAATACCACAGTAATTAGACAGCATTTACTTGTAGCAACTACCGCAGAACACTACGATGATGTTTTATCTACACCACTAGTTGGTAATGAAACTCGTCACGATTCAGCCCAACTCAAAAATACGGTCCTGCATCCTCTGCAGTGCTGAAACACCTTAGAAGAGTGGCCTGTTTACATGGTCACCCAAGACATTAAGGAGCAAGGGTCGCTACGTTTGCACACAATCAATATAGCATCAATGTTTCAAGTGTAAAAATGGATTGAATGTAACGAGAGAATCAATACTAAGGTCATTATGTTATTTCCCTATCAATGTTTTGGTCATCTTGAAGAAAAAGAAAAAACTGGACATTAACTGATCCAAAAGTTTGAGACAAAATATAAAAGACCGCAACATCTATCATTTGTTTGTGTTTCCAACTGACAAGTTATTACAACTCCTTCACGAAGAAACCATTAGATAAGTGAGTACGATGTCATTTCTTAAAAACACTTATTACACAGGGCTCGAAGTTACTACATATTAAGACCGCTCAGATGTAAAATTCCGTTTGTTTCATCGCAT